GTTGCTTGTAGGGTTCAGGGGATCTCGTAGTCGAGCAGTCTCGACTAGAGCTTTTGCATAAATTAAGTATAGAATGATTAAAATATCAGCTTGGAGGGTTCCTAGTCGAGCAGTCTAGACTAGAGCCTTCTTACGTGTTTTATGTTAGGTAGGTGGAGTTGTGTTGCTATAGCTAAACCTTGCGGCCATCGAAGGCCTGGTACTCTAAAGCCCCGCAAAAATTTGATTGTTAAATTCATCCTCATCAGCAGAAAGAGAATGGAAAAAAATAAACAGTGTAAAATTTGGCACGCGTAGGATATTGATAGATTCTTTGCCTTAACATAAATATTATTTTATTTAGCGGTACAAAGCAATGTTAACCACAAAAGTCAATAAACGATTTCATCAAAATACTTTTGCCGACTTTTGTATATACGAATATGTATATCGCATTTTTTATGGGTTTATTTTAAATTATTTAAATATTGAATTTATATTTACTTACGTTTACAGGGTCTATCCGGGAACATGCGAGCAAATCCCAGCCGGCATTGACAGTGACTTACGTATTCTGAGATATTGGTACATATCTCATTTCTGTTGGGCTTACAAGCTGGATTGCAAGAGTTTTGTGATGTTATTGGACTCAATAAGGTTTTCGGAGGGGTTTCCATTAGGATACCGCCAAGCAGCACATTATTCGAGTTGATTGGACGTAGGACTTCTTCATCTCGAGTGGGTGTATCAAATGTTATATTCGTATCATAATCCAACGGAATTTGTGGTTCGATGATTTTATTATTCTTATTAGTATTATTATTTGTCATAACAATTAAAATGTTAGACATATCGGGTCGGAAGGGTAGTTTTAAAGTATTATTAGGTATTATTGCATAAGTGTTCGAATTTGAACGTGTATAATCTAATATTTTAGTTTTGGTTGTAGTCACATCTTTTTCAGTATCGATGGGAGTTGGCATATATATTAACGTATTTGGTAGTTGTGTAATTATTTCCTCTTCACTACTAGCGATCCGCGATGAATTAGATTTGATTGTTTTCGAAATAATACTCTTGTTTTTTAAAAAGATGTTATTGGGACGTATAGTCGTTAGTTTATTGGAAAATGTATTGCTATTCATGTCACCAGTAGAACTTTTTGTGGATGAAATTCTCTCCATTGGCTCCGATGATTCCAAAAAAAATAATGAATTTTCAATATTGTTATAAGCAGCCAAGTCTAGATTATTATCTGAACCATCATTATCATGATAAGTATTTGTAGACACGACTCCAGAATCCCAGATGGGTGTAGTGACAACGTCTTGTACTTTTTTTAACATCGAAAAAGTTTTTAGTACAGACTCGGTTATGGTTTCAAGTTCAACAGTATTTGATGAAGCTGCTGTTTTATTTAAGTTAGTTGAATGGAAATTATTTAGAATATGGGGAACCAATGCATTAGCTCCATTTGTGGCCGATGGAAATTGTTTAAAGTTTATTACATTCTTTGATTCGTTAGATATTGATGGTATAGCTATTTGACTGTAACTCGCTGCTAATGGGTTCTGTTTACCAGATTCCTTAAATGTTGATGACAGTTTTGTATCTTTTCGACTCGCAACTGTGTTAGTATCTTTTATCATGGCTTTAGTTATTGTTGACTTCTGGATAATAGGTTCCAAAAATATTGATGATACTTGTATATCTGCTCGACTCGTAGCTGTTGTTGGCTGATGGGTAATCGGTTCCTTATATATTGATAATACTTGAATATCTTTTCGATGCGTATTTTTTGATGATGCATATCTATTAAATATATTATTAGCTCTTGATGGTGATGGTGTTACTTCTAATGCCAGAAGTGCTGGTGGCTGCAATCCAACTACACTTTGCTTAACTTCTGTTTTTAAAAATGTTTCCAACGGCGGAGGCATTAGTATCGTTGGAAATAGTTTAGTTGGTTTAATGGTATTATATATATGATTCAATGATGTTGGTAATGAGAAATTGTATTCTTGTTTGTCCTGTGGTTGTGCTCTTATATTAAATTGTTCACCATTTGCCACAAATACCTTTTTGGGGAAATCATTTGGTTCGTTGCTTGCTTGAGTTTGGGGGTGCGTTTGGATTTCGGTTGACTTGACAAACGGGCGACCCAAGCCGATAGTCTGAGGGCGTGTAAATGATAACCATGTATTAACTGTGCTAGAGCTTACTACATCACGATTAGTTGGTGGTTTATGAAAATTTGCAGAAATATTTTCGTTTTGTAAATTATAGTTCGAATTGTAAGTAGTATAGTCAGCATTTTGATCTTGTTGTGAATTCACTTCTCCACTACCATTAGAAGTACGCTCATCATATATGGGATTTGCAAATACCAGGCTTTGCTTTAATTTGATTGAGTTCGAAGCAATGTGACTTAAACCTGAGTGTACGTTCCACTTTGTAAAAGTTTCGCTAAAATTCCATTTGTTATTGGGGTTTTCCAGTTCGTTCTGACTTTGATCTACATATTTTTTATTTGATAAGGATGATACACTTATATAGGGTTTGTTAGAACTGATAGTTTTGCTACCAATATTTGCAGTTCGCACAGTTATTTTTGAGCTTTCAGTATTTTTAAAAAAGTTATGATTACGTTGCCTAAATATACTACCTATTTGTTTTATAATGCTCGAATCATTGGCTGTATTAGCCGCATTAATAGATAGCCTTGTATTCTGAGGTGTTATTTCAACCTCAACATGTGCTTTATTCAACGGTATTTTAATAAGAGGAATGGGGGGTGTGGCTATGTGGCCCCGAAGAGCAGTTCCAAGTGGAAAGTTTTCACTTTCCCTCTTAAAAGTCAACGGTGGGACATTAATGTTGACATTATGATTGAGCACATCTGTCTTCAGACTTACATGATGATGGGCAGATATCTTTGGTGATATATGCTGGTAGTAATTACTGTCAGACATTAGATATGTCGTGATCGTTGGTAATTGTGTGGCGAATATCTGAGGTATTTGTTTGATTTCCAAAATTTTATTATCGTGCAACTCTGCATTTAAATTACCAATTAGTTGCTGCGATCCATAGAGATGGCTATTGCGATTATTGCTTGGTCTATTGTCTATGCCTGGCAATTTAAATTTGGCTCCTGATGATGATGACGCTGTACTGAACTCTGTATATTTGTGAACAGCTTGCGATGCTGGTGGCCGAAGTATATGGTTGAACCCATCTGCTAGCCCTCGATGCTGATTTCGGTTTGTTTTCAATCGTTCCAGATTGTAGTACTTATTTCCCACATCGATCGGTATGATGCGTGGTGGGGTTAGAGAAAGTGGGATTGCTGGTGGAATCCAATTTTTTTTTTTTAATGGTGACACGTTGTAATTTGTAGATGTTTGGTTTGTATATTCTATTAATATATCATTGTCGCTGTGTGTTTTGGACAGTGCATTTTGACGAAAATATTGAATGCCTATCCCGTTCGGTCGGCCAATAATGACATCAGCATTTGCATTTATTATCTCCCCAGGTCGTATTGATATTCCATTATTCAGCACGGAGTTTCCATAGGCTGAATGAGGTCTTACTGATTCAATATATGTTGGTGAACTATTATTATTTTGCTGTCGTAGCCAGCTGTCGGTTGCTCCATCTGGAAAGTCGGGTGGATTGATGTGAAGACTATATGCTGTTAACCTTTTTAGATTGATGCTTGAACTATTTATATCTGACTTAAAGTGGTTTGAAGAATGGGAAATAGGTTTTATACTATTGGTTTGAAAATCAGTATGTGGTTCTGGTGTTTGTAAAGGTATGTAAACAGGCTTTTCGTCTAATTGATTTTGGGTTGAGAGCCTATTGGTTTGATTTTTCTCCATTACAGAGAGATCATCCATATTCTGTTTTGTCTCCGCTTGTCGATTAACTAATTGTTTTTGTAAGAACTCGGCCATTACGTCAAATACTGGTCGAAAGCGTTTCAAGTTTAATGAACCAATTAGTTGATCTACTGTCGGCGAGGCTGACATTGATGAAGACTGAGAAGGTTGCTTCATCACTGGCTTAATGTAAACACTATTTTTTTCTGATTCTGAAAGGCTTTGATCAAGGTTTTGCTGGACTTGGACTTTTGTTGTTTCATCTTTATCTGTATTAACTATAACGCTAGTTGGGTTTAAGGAATCAAAACTGTGTTTTACTAATTCTTGATCACGTAGCAGAACTGTGGGTGTTGCAGTCGACGAGTTTTTTTGTATATTCACTGCAGTTATTTGCAATGTCTCTCCGCTTAGCAGCGTAGCCAATGTAACAAGTACTTTTCGATTATTTTGACCCTTCGTTTGTATTAGCTCAGTTTGGAACACGGATACAAGCTCCGGTCGCAACAATGAATTTGGCACAACATCCGTCATAACATTGACAATCACCTTTGTTTGTAAATTGGTTTGGGCTTCCATTTCGTGTTCGGGTATGGATGACTGTCCTTCAGATTTTAAGCCTAAATCTGTTGACAAGTGATATGTAACTGTTGTCAAATAGGTTTTCGTTGCATAAATTTGGATTTCTTCTTCCATTTGGTTAGCTGCTGTAAGAGTCTCACAATTTTTTGACTTCGATGCACCTCGTGGGGGAATGGATTCCGTGATGACAACTTGTGTCAAAATATTTTCATCTGCTAGAAATCTCGTTGCGTCCACTCCATCTAGATGTGTTATTATTACATTCAAGGGACTGTAGTATGTATTTGTATCTAAAAGGGGAGTTGCATCTTCTGAAGGCTGTAGAAACGAAATGTAATCCTCCGGCCCAGTCACTGTATTAATTATTGTGTAACTTGATCTGATAACAAAGTCGTTGTTTTTAATTGAATTATAATAGTGGTATGTTGTTGGAAATATTCCCACCACTAGTTCAGGTATCTAGGGGTAGATGATTAAAATTTTTTAGAAAATTGTTTACTCTTTCCAGAACTCATTGCTTCAAGCAATGTATGCAACTGAAAAATAAAACGTATTTTCTATTCGTATAAACACAAAAGCCTATGGATTTACGAATAATGAATTGGAATGCAAATGCCTGCTTGAGAAGCGTAATTACCAGAACTGTAAGGTATCAATCAGTTAATAAACTGGAAAAATATTATTGAATCTGTGCAATAGACATTACTAAAATGGATATTTTAGCTACCTGGCTTTCGAATTTGAAATATAAGCGGGTCAACAGATTTCGCTCAAATTTAAAATATATTATCAGGATCAATAAACTAAGCAATATTGATCATTACCCATCAAAAGTCAATGCAGAACTGATGATAGAAGGCGAGAAAAAATTTACAAATAATTAATATTTATGAGCTTGTATGCTAAATTCTAAGTCCATTAATAATTCAATGAAACTAAAATTGAAATTTCTTCGATTTTCTGGACTGCACCCAAATTTTGATACCAAACATAATTACTACTTCTTTTTATACAAAAAATGTAGTGTTTTTGCAATGCTTCCTGAAAGTAATACTTACATTTGAAAGAGTTACGCCAAGCGACAATTTACTGCTTGCGCGCAAAAATTTGCGCTCTTCCGTTTGGCGATTTAATACGATCTTCTCTCTACTTTCCACTGTAGTGCTTCCCTTGTTAAGGTATGTTGTATGATATGTATATGTGGTTAAGCACGTCTTTGTAATGAATTGGTTCTCTTCAATTGGAATCGAGAAATTCTCCTAAGATAAGCAATGAACAGTAAAGAATGATCAAAATATATATTAATTTTTACCTGTCTAACAGTAGGCACTGCCAGGATCATATGATTCTTCAGTGTACTGGGTGCAAGAGTGACAGGTTTCTGTTGAACATTTCTCGATGAGAGACTAATCGACGAGCTATGAACCGATGGCGCTTGTTTATCAATATGCTTGATTTTATCGCTTGCAATGATGAGTTGTACTCCATTCGACATAACATGTGTGGCTAAATTGAATCTAGCCTGATCCAAACTCTCGTTCAATATATTATCGGAATTGATCGCAACTAACTGGTTATTCTGAAGGCGGGACATTGAGTCAGTTGTTGATTCACTTTTACTACTATGTGCTGTTTCGTGTTTAACATGTCTTTTATTGGAGCCTGCATCGATTACAAAAATTGTATGTAGACATTTAGGGTCTGAAGCAAAATGCAAACAAGCTACCTTTCTTTTCATTTTTTGTTAAATATATTTCAAATATCTATTTACATGGATTATATTCAATTATAATTCAAATGTATGACTAGTGTTATTCATTTATAAATGTCATTTTACAAAAGTTTTGAATGCTATCAATTTAATTTGTTGTATATCAACAGTTGAAGTATATAGTATAAATATTGTTGATCAGGATCAATGCCAGAGTCGATCTAGATCTGTTCGTTCGTGTTTGTTTGTCCTATGCATTGGCGTATATCGAAAGAGCATTTTTGCCTGAAATCAAACTTATTTTTTTATGCCTTTGGAAATATATTCGGTGGCATTTGTTTATATATATTAGTTTTATGCAAATTTTTGGAAAGTAAATTACATATTTTTCAGCGAAACTTTTAAATGTATTGCCGTGCACCTACCGGCAGCATAGCTGTTCGGGAATTACTGTATGGAGCGTAGAACCGCACATGTGGTAACCTCCTCACATTTGTATGGAAAATAAAATATATACATTATATTACGATATTATTTAAATCAATCATTTTATTATCAAAATTCAGAAAAACATACGACATGATATAGTTTATTATTTATGCTGTATGATTAAGTAAAATTTTTTACATTTAATACATATTCAAAAATATTATACATACATATTAAAATATATATTAAGAAACCCATCTTACGGTTAATTTAATTTTTTAACTTTTAAAAGGTACATACATTGATTGGTTATATATACATTATTCCTACCTAGTGCGGATTTATAAACTATCCGAACCAAAAAAAGACGAAATTCATATCTGTTTCATGGACTATCATCTTATAAGGACTATTCTGCGTTTTCTGTCATGCCACCGTATTGATATTAGTCGGGATAAAGTGAGTGCGAATGGCTATAATATTATTCAAGTCAGTGTGCGTATGTATTATCGTGACTGTCAGATGCCGAGTACTCAGTCGTGTAAATGTAGAAATGGACTGTAATTGCGCGGTCTGATCGTTGTGCGCCCGGTCTACGACATATGTATATACCTATGTATGTGTAGTTTCTTGTTCATGCGTCTTCTTATATGTATCATCGCATTATTGATGATGGGGAAGCCAACATTAAGGTTGTTGTTGGTGTAATCGGCCAATGATTTACAGGCTTGTAGGTATCGATGTACGATTCTGTGGTATGTTGTGAATTGTGGTTTGAATTTTAAATGTATTATCTGTATAGCTTTTATTTGATAGTCTATTTTTGAAAATTACAACACGCTTCTTTGGTTGCGTTTTCTCTGTTAGCATTATTAAGCTACTGTATAATTCGCCTTTGTTATTAAGCTACTTGACTAGTAATGGGCGTATAGAATTAAGAGGCTTACGACGCACAATTACCTTGCGCACTCGTGGTTTCTGATAGCCTATTAATTCACGCTTGGATATGCGCTTAGTGCTGTGAGGACATTGTCTGCCATGAATATACAAATGGATATTGCAGACCTGCATCTGAAGTGGGAACAACTCGGTGAGGTTATTTATGCTGAATTTGAATAATTACTGCTATTGAAAGGCTCCTTGGTATTCGAAGACATTGATGGAACGTTTTGCTTTGTTGCCTTGGCATACCACAGCTCGACATCCCCAATTATGCTTTCTAAGGTAGCTGTACGAGCATCGGAATCGGAGTTGACTAAGTTTTCACCCAGTTGATTAGGTGGAACATATGATAAGACCCGTTCGCTCTCTCCAAATGCATATAGATCATCGGGATTTTGTAAAGAAACTGTCTCGTCTTGGTCATTAATGTGCCTTTTGTGCAAACTTGATGGCACTAAGTGCTCATAACTACTGTACACAGTCGATAAAACTGTGCTAAATTCACCTGGTCTTCGTCCAGAGACATATAACGTAACTACGCTGCTTTCTTCTTCAGATTTCGTTTGTTGCTGTTTGTTCCGCTTTTGACCTTTGTTCGATTTCCTTGTCTTTTTGCGGTTCTTATTGGTGTGGATACGATCATCGATGGCTATGATATCATCAATATTATCGCGCGCGATGATGGAATCACCATCAAATCGCACCCCATCTTCCAAGTCCTGCAAATCGTCACTCAATAATATATTAGGTGATGTCGTTTGCATTACCTGAGCCACGCTAGCTTGCAGTTGCTGTTGTTGTTGTTGCTGCAGCAGAAGTTGCTGCAACAGTAGATTATTAACTTGGGCGACCTGACTTGATGCCTGCACAACCTGGTGGCTGGGCGTATTAACAATTGTATCTACGTTATATTCAGTTGCGGTTATGGTCTGAGCAGTCGTATCAAAAACGGTTGTTAAGATCTTCTTCCCTTGAAAAGTGATTGGCAAAATTGTAGATTTACCATCGTATATAGTTGTTACATAAGTCGAAGTATGTGTACGATATTCCGTGACCGGTGCTGACGGCTCAACAGCAATAATTTGGCTCATTCCATGGGGCTGAGCAATCGCCCCTAAAAGTGGATTGCTTGGCAAATTGATGTTGCCTAATAACAACTGAGACAGCAAAATGTTGGCTAATGGTGCATTGGCTGCTATCTGCGGCTGCACAGTCGAGACCAGGTTCTCTACAGAATACACTGTCGAAGGCAGAACGTGTGAGAAGGATGTTTTACGGCCACGAATCGTTGTCGGTGTAAATGTAACAGTGGATGTCAACGATTCGCGCAGTAGATACCGTGTTAGCTCTGTGGCACCAGCAGAATTAATGGCGGATTCTTCACGAGTTAGGTACAATGATAGTTGCCCATTGCTTCCTAAAATTTGGGTATATTGATGTGGTCCTAGTACCTCAAGACTTGTCTTCGCAGTCACAATATTTTTGTATTCAGTCACCTGACCATTAATAACGGGCACCGTTACTTCCGCTGGTATTAAATGCGTAACCGTGATTGTAACGCTGCCTAACTCTGTGGATTGGGAGTCCGAGTTGTATTCAATGCGACTTCTTCCACGCATCGTAGTGCGGCTTCTTGTCGACATATTTGCATTGCCTTTACGCGCACGTGCTGTGTTTGAGGCGCGGCGACCAGAATTTTCCACATTATTATTATGCGTACTATAGTTCTTCAGACGGCGCGATGCACTAGTTGAACTGGAAATAGTCGGGGTCCGCCGTGCACTAGACTGTTGTCGACGAAAATTTAAAGACGTGCCACTCTGTCTGCTTTTTATAGAAGCATCTTGCTCTCTTAATGTAAATTGAGTACGCGGCGATGTGGGTCTGCTTGGACGAATTGACCTATGGCTTGAGATGGCAGGAGCGCTAGTACTTGTTTGTGGCTTATGCGTCACCATGTACCTTGAACCGAAACGCGAATTAATTTTCGGACGTGCTGAATTTGGGGTATGTGTTGTGGATAGTATCCGCTCATCGCTATTTAAAAGAATTGGCTCTTCTGTTGTGACAGCTTTTGGGCGCCGAAATCGAAATTTGTTCCTATTTAAGGTATCAGCTTCACGACGTCTACGTGAAAGTTTTGGATTACTGCTGACTTTTGCCGCAGTTTTATTCGAGCTCCGGCGCCGTCTAGTCTCATTTTGTACCTCTCCATCAGCATCATCATCTTCGCCTTCATCATCATCATCGTAATCAGAATCAGTTTCCGTATCATTTATATTATGACTTGCTTCATTGTCTACTTGTGCTTGATCCTTGTGTTGTTTGAATAGTCCTCGTGGTGGGAAAAGATTGTTTTGGGGTCTAGCTCGCGCTTGAAAACTTGAAATTGTGGGTCGCTGAAAGTTTCGTGGTCGTGGCCTCGCTGTCGTCGTTGTAGTTGTTGTTGCTGTAGATGTTTTGGTCCGTCCAGTTAATGGATTTTTTCTTGGCGAAATGTTAGCTGCATTAGCATTAGCCCGTGGAACCGGAGTAAATCCACTGGGCCGACCGAGTGGTCGACGGAAACGCAATAATGGATTCTGATTGCGTCTAGAAATTTGATAATTTTTTTCTTCATCAGCATTGCTTTCAGTCGAATTTTCAGCGGAAGGCTCTTCATCGGCATCGACACTATCTGCATTAAGTTGCTTCAGCGTTGATGTGGTCGCACTATGACCAATTACTGAGGCTGGTCTAATTCGTTGTCTGGAGCTGCCAACACTCAGTGCAGAAACTCGAAAATTAATGCTGCTGGATGGTCGGGATAAGGAATTAATGCTTAGTCGCCTTGAACTGGATATGGGTGCAGCACGCGAAGAGGACACAAAACGGTTTCTAGATTGAGAAAATCCGCTGCTTGCTAAACTAAAATTAGAGCCGGATTGACTAGCGCCGGCATTAACCGCAGTGTTGGTCGATGATTTTATTGGGCGACCAAATAGACGTCTAGAAGATGTTGAGCCGCCATCCAAAGTATTTATTGGCGCATTTGATATAGTCCCTCTACGAGATGTACTAAATCGCCCCACAGACTTAAGGGCCGGAGTTGCTGTTATTGTTGGTGTTATGTCGGATCTGGTGATAATAGTGGCACTGCTTGGACTTAGAGTTTTTTGCTTTGGCGAAAATGTTGGTCTGTTCCGCGAAGCAAATGGTCTTATCACAGGCGCAAATGTTCGTTTCTTTGTTTGCAGAGATAAGCTAGCATTATTATTGTCATTATCGTCAATACTATCAATAGACGTTGATTGCTCAGTAGAATCGGTATTGACGCTACCCTCAACTTCTGGAAGCAAAGACTGAAGACTTACCATTTGGGTGGTGGTAATATCATCAGATGTTGAAGACGGTTGTACTGTAGATGTAGCTATTCGTTTTTCAAAAATAAAGCTTGAGGTACTCTCAATAATCTGTGCATAGCGATTATTTATAATCGTACCAATCACTTTTGATTGATACAAAGTTGTTGTACTATTCCCAATTCGTGTTCCCTCTATTAGTCTAGCCAATCCAGTTTTGTATTGTCGGGATGATCCAGACTCTAATGTCTGTTCAGTTGCTGGCGAATTGGATCTCTTTACTTCATTGATGTACAAGCTCGACGTACTGCTGGTGATCTCAATGGGAACACCTTCATTGTCAACGGTTGATTGAACTTGCGTTGTAAAATACAAAGTGCTGATCCCATCCGCATCAATTATATGCTTATAGTCATAGAAAATTATATCTTTATTTTTGCTCTCGTAATTATTTTCTGAAATATATATTGACTGATCTTGTGTTATTGATATTGTCGGCTCTACATTCGTTGCTGAAGTTTTTGAAATAGTTTTGCTTAGGGGTGTTATCACATTTGTAACGGTCTCGAAACGAGAATTTGTAACTGTTCTATTAGCGTCATATGATGTTGTATAATATGTATACGTGGTATAAAAAGTTGTCAGCTCCGAGACTTCACTTGCGTCTAAATTTACAAAGTTTTTGGCATCAATTTTGGGATTAAGTTGAATACTCTCAAAATTGTTATTAGTAAAACTTTTATTATTTTGGCCGCCTTCGTTTGATATGGATGACAAGTCGGAAATAGAAGTTGGATTCGAGCTCAACTCAAGGTCCAATACTAAACGACTTGTTGGCTCTATGATGTTTGATATGGTTTCCTCTCTGCTAATTGTTGTAATCTCTCCGTCCTTAGCTAACTTAGTCCAATAAGTAAATGTGGTGAAGAAAGTTATAGGAAGAGTAGCCTCATCGTGGACAAGCACTTTTGTTGGCTGTATCGTTTCCGTGGCAATATTCGTTACAGTTTCGAGTCGACTTACAACATTCGTGCTATCCGAAACATACATCGTTGTGTAGAATGTGAATGTAGTAAAACTTGTCTGCAGCAGAAATGTTGCTGATGGTATTATTTCTTCCGTATTGCTCTCAGAACTAATTTGGTCATCATCCCCTTTTTTCCCAACAACTTGATCATCGCCATTTGAACTGCTTGTTCGGATGTCCGTAACCAATGTTAGGTACTCTTCTTTATTTTGCGATATTTCAATAGCATTTTTATCTTCAACGTTAGGAATATCCGACTGGAGTTGAGACTCAGACACGGATAGGGTCATACCATGATCAAAAGCTGAAGGCGTTTTATCTGGTAGTATATCATCAACAATTGTTTCAGTAGTCCACCCCAATTCAGTAACATAATTGGTGAAGACTTCGGTTCTAGACATTATATCTGTTTCAGTATCAGCGAAAATCGTTGTGTAGTAAGTGTAAGTTGTATAGAATGTTTTTGTTTTTTTTGTATCGTTCAGATATGTGTTTTGCTCATAAAAGCTTATCGATTTGGACTGTTCACCGTTGGTCGTAACGTGCAATAAGCTTTCAAGTTCATCGGGAATCATATAACGGGTTTGTGTAGCTTGTATGTTTGGCGATACTGTGATCTTCATATCCATAGTTGGAGTTTCTGCGGGAAAGCTCTGAATATTGTTGATGGTTGTAGCGTCTTCGTCAATACCCAAGGTCGAGGTAACAATATTTGTAATAATCTCTGTATGGCTAGATACAGTTGTGGACTGGGCTTGAAAAAATGTCGTCAAATAAGTATAAGTTGTGTATAGTGTTTTGTATATAAGATCAATTTCATCCGAAACATTTTCACCATCATAATCATCATTTTCGTTATAATTTACATTTACAGATTCTGTAACGTTATTAACAGCACCTTTTAACATCTCTTTCGCTGTCTCCGCGTCTATGGAGCTCTTTTCCCTGACTGTTGGAATAGTGGCCTCTGTTTGACTCTCCGCCAATGTACCTTCTGTGCCTACAGCGTCGCTGATGAATGACTGACTAGACTGAATAGACTCTTGCAAAACTGTTTTGGGCTTTTCTAATTGAGGTGATTCAATTATTTTCGTTGACTCGAGGCAATAGAATTTAGTTGTCTCCTTTATATCAATTGAAACGGGTTCCTTTTTGTCGTTTTCATTATTTTTTGTACTAGAAACATTCATATCTGTCTTTAACAATTGAGTCAAATATACTTGTGAAGAAATGTGTGCGCAGTTTTCTTTGATGGCATCGTTCGGGCTATTAAAAACCTTAATCATCGATGGAGTTTCAGTTATATTTTCGGATATCTGAGAATAGAGAGGGTATGATTTTTCTACATCCTCTAAGCTTGTAGTGGACACTTCTGAATCTTCTGTTGAGGTTATCTCTGTTGTAGTTTCTTCCTGTTCAGTTGAGATTGTTGCTATTGGTGTTGTTATTGAAAGGAGACTTTTTTTCACAGAAGTAGGCTCGACAAAGTTGGCAAACGGATCATCATCAATGAATATAGTTGTGGCTCCTTCATGTACCTGATTTGATTCAACTATTTGGTCTCTAGAAGCACTAATTTCTCCAATGACTTCGCTGGAGGAAAGTGATAATTGGGCTGACTGGGACTGCGCTTTGGCTAACGACGAATATATTTGCAAAATTTCTTGATCAGTTGGCAACGAAAACATTGGCCTAGCTTCGATTGTGCCGATATCATCCGATATAACTTTCTGACCTGTTATAGAATCAAGATTGGGTGTTGGAAGCTTACTAGCTTCTAATATTAGCTCTGAAATATTTGGAGTGGAAATCTCGGCCATATCGCTTCTTGGTGGCTCTGTAGCATCACTGAAGCTAGCCCACTCATTTATTTCAGTTGTAGTAGCACTTTCAACCACTTCAGCTGTTTTTGTGGAGTGAATTTTCATGGTCGTCAAAACAAAGTTAACATCACTGGTTCTAAGCGTAGCCATGCCTTTTATTGATGTTACGTGGCTAGCAGACGAACTAGGCTGCGAAGTTCTTGGCTGGAAAACAATCAAGCTGTCGCCTACTAGAGTTGTGAAATCAGCAAAGCCATAATATGTGACAGTAGATAATTGTCTCTTTGGTGTATTAATTGGTTGATGATACGATTTATCCTCTCTCACATTTTGTCCTACATTATGCTGATAAATCTTCGCGGAGCGTCCCTCATCACTGGGATTGTCATTTGAATCAGAAATTATCTGTGTATCTTGACCTTCTTTTATTTGATATCCACTAGGCTCAAAATTATTTTTAATCGTAAACGTCGGTAAATCACCAATCGGCAACACTTTATCAGCAGCAACTTTTCGAGCATTGTCCTCCATATGCCTAGAACGAGTAGCAAACTTTACATCAGAATTATATTTTATCTCTTTAATGATGGAATTTGACTCAACGGGTTTTGAAACCAACTGACTGACGGACTTTAACATAATAAAGTCCGTGTTACCAATAAAATCATGATCATTTCCATTCGAAGGGACCCCTACAGCTTCCAAAACTAGTCTATCATCAATTTCCTGCCAATCTGGAAAATCAGCATTCAGTAAATCGTTATGACTTTGCAGATAGGATCGTGTTTGCGAAGATTGAACACTGTCGCCCACCCAACTGGTGAAAACCGATGGTGACATGGTATTGGGGCTATTTTCAAACAATACGCGCGAACTTTTCTTTAGATACTGGGCGTATAGTCGCCCATTATTCAAGGTAGTTCCCACGACCTCGGTGGCATATTCAGTTGTGACACCCTCTTGAATGAATGTTCGGGCTGTTGAGGTTAAGAGGCCAACTTCTGGGCGTACAGACAAAAATCGGCCATGAGTATCACCTAAACGTCCCACTCCGTTCTTGTTCACCAACAATACAGTCGTTAACTCTAATATGATGAAGTATTACACAAACACACACAAAAACATGATTAACGTTTCAAGTCAAGATTTGAATATAAAGTATACATGACATTGATAGGCAATAAATAGCAAATAATAAAAATATGGTACCAATATTTACAAAAGCATATATATTAAAATAAGAGAAGAGTTATTTAAGATTATATCGATATATCCACAATGTACAGCATAGAGAGATGGAGAAGTCATTTACATAAAAAGAAATAAAGAAAAGAAGGGACAAAAGAGGTAAGTAAGTTCATACATAATACAACTTAAATACTACACTGGCTTTTTATTTACGTTTACAAATAAGTTCTTTATGTATATACATATGTATATATATTTTATAAATCTGTTTCTAGTCTGTTTTATGTACGCGTTTCTTTATAGTATGTACATAAAATTCGAAACAGACTTGTATATTCAAAATGTTCTAAGTAACAGTGCGATTAATGTGAATTATACATACATAGCATATAATCTATACACATACAACGAAATTCCTTTATTGTTACACACAAATGTATGCACAAATATAGTATATATTGCTTACCCACTGCACTTGCTCCACGTAAAATTGGTGTTGGTTTCATACGGTACGACTCATCTGAAAATTTAAATATATAAATAATTAACAAAATAAACAACTGAAAACAAGAACGTCGCAGTCGGGCGTTACCGACGCTGATCTCCATTCCAAAATTCAGCATTCTAGCTCTTCAACTAGTTTTCCGTTATGCCACGCAAAATTTTAACACTTTATAAATCGGAGTATGTGTTCCAAATTTTAGCTTTATTAGGGCCGAAATAACCTGCGTTTATACAGACAGACGGACGGACAGCAAGACGGGCATCACACAAAACCAATATACTCATTTCGTGGATGAGTATAAACAAATAAGAAGACTCTAGTCGAGACTGCTCGACTAGGAGATATCCTGAGCCCTCCAAGCTGATATTCTTATCATTCTGCACTTCTTTTATGCACGCACACATAC